CTCCTCCTCCTCCTCCTCCTCCTCCTTCTTCTCATCCCTATCCTGCATGGCAATTTAGAATATACTTAATAGCTGTATAGTAGCAAACCTTAGTTAATATTATGAACAGAAGGAGTGAGAGTAAATAGTAAAAGTATGCTTTCCTCCTCCTCTACCCTTTACATGCACGGTAATAGAACATTAATCTGTTTCAGCAATTGTACATGTGGAAGAGAAATTAGAACTCCCAGTTCAGCCCCTGAGTTGTTACCATTGTTACTGTGTTGGTGGGAGATCTAATGTGATCTTTCTAATGTCAGCAAAACCAGTCCCAGTGGCCCCAGTACTTCTCATTCAGCACTATACGTAATCCATTTTGCCCCTGTTTTTGGATATAGGTAAAGTTACAAGGGTAAACTGAAACAGATTTCTTACTGATTCACTTAAGAACGTAACAACATAAGAGAAGCCAAATGCTGGATCAGGCCAATGGCCCATCCAGTCCAACACTGTCACACAGTGGCCAAAAATACCAGGAGCCATCAGGAGGTCCAGCAGTGGGGCTGGGACACTAGGAGCCCTCCCACTGTTGCCCCCCCAGGCACCAAGAATACAGAGCATCACTTGCCCCAGACCGAGAGCTCCTATTTTATGTAAGAATTATTGTGACATGAAGTTTTTGTGAACTAAAGCACACTTCATCATACAGCTTGCCTGGAAAAAGGGAAGGAAAACGCTTTTGCTTCTTGTACATAATTATGTTGGCTTCTATAGTTATGAGGGACCTGCCCCAATCGTGTGTTCCCAATATTTAACCATGGTTTGATATTGAATGACAGTTCTTCAACCTGCCAAATGGGTTGCAGCAATACTGAGTGAAGCAACAGCTAGCATCCTTTGTTTGTTTGTTTGGTGAACTGTAGGCAAAATCAGATGTATAACAAATGTCATACATTTCTACCCTGTTTGGACCCAAAACTGAACTGTTTTCCTGCCCTCCATTTTATCCTCACAACATCCCTGTCAGGTAGGTCGGGCTGAGAGTGTGTCACTCGGCAGCAACCTTCTATGGCGGGCTGGGGATCTGAGTCTTAGAGACACCTGACAGGTTGCTTCAAGGCTCTCTTATTACCTGTTGCATTGGCAACCCGGTTCAGGGTGTCCCAGTTCCCAGTTCATTTTTGGCACTGCAGCTTCCATTGCCATTCTGGGGTTGCTGGCCAGTTTTCAAACATGTAGTGTTATTTTCTGATGAGTTACATCTGCTGCAGAGACTCTTCGCTTCCACTGCCAATAGCCCGGGGGTGTATGTGTGTCTCAATATAACCTGGGCCAAGATATCCCCATGGCCCTGGAACAATCACGATCACCCTGAAGCTGGTGGCCAATTCTGAGTCTCCTGCCTTTACTCCCTGATGAATTATGCCTGCCACAAATGGACAGACAGATGGTAGACTCATGGTAACAGCCAGCCAAGTGATTTGTTTTGCTACGATACTTGGTTTGGATCCGGGTCGTATGCGGGTGTCCCAGGTGGAATCTTCGTCCGGGTGCCCATCGTGGCTTTCGGCAATCCTGCTTGTGTCAACTTGTTTTGCCTTTCTTCGCCATCTAGGAACAGCACATATTCTTGGGAGCGTCTCTACCATCTGCCAAGGACATTACTCACCAACAGCGCCCCCTGCAGGTAAGGCTTCTGAAGTCCAGCTCTGTATCACCAGGCTTTCGGGTGGTGCCACAGTCACCTTGAAGACGGTGGCCAATTCTGAGTCCCCTACATTTCCTCTCTGATGAATTATGCCTGGCACAAATGGGCAGATGGATGGACAGGCCAATTCTTTTATTACTACCGATTCATGGTAACAGCCAGCCAAGTGATTTGTTATGATATTTGGTTTGGATCGGGGCGGTATGCAGGTGGCCCCGATGGAATCTTGGTCCAAGGGCCCATGGTGGCTCTTGGCAACCGTGGCCATGAAAGCATAGATCACAATTGTGGCCACAAAAGCTTGGATCACAGAAACTAACTGGATTCCAGGTGAGGCCACACCAACAGGTTTGAACCCAAGCCCAACACAACGGATGAAAGCGAACTGACAACCACAGACTGCTGCCCCTCATGATTTTTACTGGTCCTATCCAGGAGAACAATACTGAATAAAACTGGCTAATAAATGGGCAATTTTCTCAGTGGAGGGTGTTAAGCTGTAGGGCAGTGCAGGAATCTCCTGCCTGGAGAATTGGTAACCCAAAAGTGTTTGTGTGCTAAGAGAAGTCTGGTGACTGCCTAAACTATGTCAGTTAGCCTTGAGAGAAAGGGGGAGAGGCAGATAGCGGACAGCTGCCTGGAAACACACACACACACACACACACATTCCACAATGATGCTCGAATGTTTGTAACTCCCAGTGTATAAATAAAGCTGCTGCGTGAGAGAAGGGGGTTCCTTCCTTCCTTCCTTCATTCAGATCAGTTCCTGCAGCCGTTTGTGTCCTGTATTGTGAACCCTGCACCCCACACCCCAAGGAACAGCACCGCATTAAGCGGTGGGGTACCACAGGGATCTGTCTGATTCCTTTTACCTTGTTTATTAATGATTTGGAGTTGGGAGTAAGTGAAGTGGCTAAATTTGCGGATGACACAAAGTTGTTCAGGGTGGTGAGAACCAGGGAGGATTGTGAGGCACTCCAAGGGATCTGTCGAGGATGGGCGAGTGGGCGTCAACGTGGCAAATGGGGTTCAATGTGGTCGAGTGCAAAGTGATGCACATTGGAGCCAAAAATATAAATACACGTTGATGGGGTCCGAACTGGCAGAGACTGATCAAGAGAGAGGTCTTGGAGTCGTAGTAGAGAACTCACAATGTTGAGACAGTGTTCAGCTGCAATAAAAAAGGCCAATACTATGCTTGGGACTATTAGGAGGGGAATTGAAAACAAATCAGCCAGTATCATAATGTCCCTGTATAAATCGATGGTGCAACCTCATTTGGAGTACTGTGTACAGTTCTGGTCACCACACCTCAAAAAAGATATTATAGCACTGGAAAAAGTGCAGAAAAGGGCAACTAGAATGATAAAAGGGTTGGAACACTTTCCCTATGAAGAAAGGTTAAAACACTTGGAGCTCTTTACCTTGGAAAAACTCTGGCTGAGGGGTGACATGATCGAGGTTTACAAGATTATGCATGGGATAGAGCAGGTAGAGAAAGAAGTACTTTTCTCACTTTCTCACAATACAAGAACTCGTGGGCACTCAATGAAATTGCTGAGCAGTTGGGTTAGAATGGATAAAAGGAAGTACTTCTTCACCCAAAGAGGAATTCACTGCCACAGGAGGTGGTGGTGGCTACAAGCATGGACAGCTTCAAGAGGGAATCGGATAAACATCTGGAGCAGAGGTCCACCAGTGGCTATTAGCCACCAGGTATAGATAGGAGCTCTCGGTCTGGGGCAAGGGATGCTCTGTATTCCTGGTGCTTGGGGAGGGGGGCAACAGCAGGAGGACTTCTAGTGTCCCGGCCCAACTGGTGGATCTCCTGGTGGCACCTGGTATTTTTGGCCACTGTGTGACAAAGTGTTGGATTGGATGGGCCATTGGCCTGACCCAACATTGGCTTCTCTTATGTTCTTATGCTCCCGCCCACCCAGCAGTTCGAAAGCCCATTAAAGGGCGAGTAGATAAATGGGGACCAAGGAGAGCAGATTTGCGCGTCGAAAAGCAGCCACCGCCGGAAGCACTACAAAGAAACGTCCCGCTGGACTGAAGGACCGAGAGACATCTGAAGCCGAAGATGTCGGAGGCCGGAAGAAAGAACCGTTACCACCTGGGTGCTGGTAGGCTGACCCAACCCCTCTGAGAATGTGGCCGTAGTTAGGGACTGTAACATGTGACTAGCACTACTAAAATTGTAAACCGCCCAGAGACCCCCATGGGGGGGGGGTTTAGGGCGGTATATAAATCGAATAAATAAATAAATAAATATTCTTAATCAGAGGTAACCAGGTCCGAGTGAAAGATTACCCTTTCTGTCTCCTGTCTCCTTGAACAAACTCTGTGTGTTTTGAAGACACAGCTTTTTCCTGATAGCCTATTAAAGGCAGAGTGCCATTGAGAAGTGAGTGAGATCTCGGTCCCCATGAGAGATGGATATTTACTGAAAGATCAGTCCTTATTGCCCCAACCAATGTGAATCAGAGCAATGCAAAGGTCCCCGGGAGTCATTCATTTTTTCCTTTACCTTTTGACTTCCAGGAAGATCACGTACAGGAGGTGGATGGCGACGCTGTTCAGAGCATAAGCATTGACCACCGGTTTGATGAAGGACATTATTGTGCTCACCACCATCACGATGCCCACCATGTATGCAAACTGTTCCCTGTGGGAATAAAAATACAGTTGTGAGCACAGGAACTCTTAGCATTGCCTTAGAACCTCCTGCATGTCTCTGTTCCTATCTCCTAGTTTTGTTCAGTGCATGCTGTACATGCAGTTAGCCACAGCTTCCTGTTTCTTTGGGTCTTTCCCACCCTACATGTTACTGAAGACCTGTGCATTGATAAACCATTGTCCCTTCCCCGATGGAATTGTCATGAGAGTCTTTCTGTGTGCTCCGTAAGCGTGTGATCCGTAAGCGTGAGTACACACATCAGTGAAAACATTGTCCTGGACTAGATGGACTATTGGTTTGATCCAGCAGGGCTCTTCTTATGTTCTTAAGGATCTTGATGCAATCATATGTATGATGGTTCCTTTGCATATCAGCAAAGCCTCACGAAGAAGAAGAAGAAGAAGAAAAAAAGAAGAGGAGGAGGAGGATGGATTTATACTCTGCCTTTCACTACTTGAAGGAGTCTCAGAGTGATTTACAATCTCCTTTCCCTTCCTCTCCCCACAACAGACACCCTGTGAGGTAGGTGGGGCTGAGAAAGCTCTTTCAAGGAATTCTCGTGAGAGAACTTGTGACTGACCCAAGGTTACCCAGCAGCTTCATGTGAAGAAGTGGGGAATCAAACCCAGTTCTCCAAGATTAAAGTCCATGCTCCTAACCACTACATCAAACTGGCTACACACACATACACAAAACAAGAAAAACCCTGCTGGGTCAGACCAGTGGTCCATCTAGTGCAGCATCCTGTTTCACACAGTGGCCAGCCAGTTCCTCTGGAGGGCCAGCAACAGGGCAGAGAGGCCGAGGCCTTTCCCTGATGTTGCCTCCTGGCTCAGGGATTCAGAGGATTAGTGCATTTGAATGTGAAGGTTCCCCTCAGTCACCATGGCTAGTAGCCACAGATATACCTATCCTCCACGAATGTATCTAATCCCCTTTTAAAGCTGTTTATTCCTGTGGCCATCACTACATCCTCTGGCAGAGAATTCTGCCTTCTAATCACTCTCTGTGTAAAGAAGTATTTCCTTTTGTCCATCTTGAATCTATTGCCCATCAGTTTAATTCGATGCTCTCAAGTTCTAGTTTTTTGGGACAGGGAGAAAAAATTCTCTCGAAAGATGGTGACGCAATTGCCCATGTTGTGTGTGTGTGTGTGTTGCATATAGTATATTAAATTGGAGTCCAGGAAGAAAGGCACGGAGTTGCCAGCATGGATGGGAATATATAATGATTTCCCCCCCCCAGTTCAGATTATTCATATGCTTATATTTTTCTGGCTTCATGAATATTTATATTAAGATTTATATTAGGACTTAATGAAAGCCTACTAAGTGGCAAGGCCTCGCCTTTGTAGGTTAGAGTGTCGTTTTAGCTAATGCTAGCAGACAAGAAAGCAGTCGATTTTTGATTGGCTGTTTTGGCCTGACTGTTTTCACATCTTTCATTGCAATTAAATATCTAAAGAACTTTTCCATCCTCACCAAGACTTCCCTTGCGTGGTCTGTTATTGACCTGAGAGCACACAAGCAGGGATTTGTAGAACAGAGTTGTTACGTACGCGGATCGCCACCAGGGGTCCGCGGCTAAGCAGGCGCTTGGTCCCCAAACACAAAGGGGACCTAGGATCCTAGTCCACCTAGAGTCCACCAATAGCACCCTTGGCAGGAAATTCAAACCCTCCAATGGGGACAGAGGTGTGCCGGGTGGAGTGCATATAGTTGACCCTGCAGGGCCATTTTTCCCTTGTTGTGAAGTACAATAAACGCGTCTGAACACATGTCGTAGTCCGAGTCCTCCACCGTGCCCGGCATCGCTGAACACCTCAAGAGTGAAGAGCAAAACTAGACAACAAAGGATGGGGAGGGGAGGGGAGGAAGGACTCTCTTAACCTGTTCTTGATGAAGGGTGGGAAATGGTGCATGGGAAACCAGCAACCGTAGCTCAGACCCATCGTCCAGAGAATGGAGAGTTCGTCCAACAGCTGCCCGGCATAGCTAAGCGTCATGTGGAAATAGATGGAGGAAACACCTGCAAATGAACAAGAGGATCTTGTTTGAGTCAGATCTTCTAGCCAGCACTTTAAAAAACAATGGCAGGGCAGGGTTTAGATCTGTCCAGAAGCCCCCACTTTTTGACCTGGAAACCCTGCACTTGTGGCTCTCCTAGTGCTCTCCTTATCCCTGAGCCCTGGGGGGGGGCCTTTGGACAGGAGAGCCAGTCCCTGGAACTCCCTCCCACTTGCCGTCCTTGGCGGCGAATTTCAAAATGCCTCCAGTGTCTGTCCTTCACCCCTTTCCCTCAGCCTCAGGTGATCTCTCCCAGAGATGGGTCGCCTCCGATAGCCCAGGAAACGATCCCCAACCCCTGGCAGGTTTCTGATTTCTCGGTCACCTACCAATGAACACCACCATAAAAGCAAGGCTGCGGACACGGCCAGGCCGATATTTCATGTAGTCGAAGTTCAGTATGATCATGAAAGGAGTCATGATGAAGAAAATGAGGTTGCTGATCTGCAGGAGAAAGGGGCAAACGGAGAGCTGAGATTGTTGTTGTTATTTGATCAATTGTTAATCCAGTTCAGTGTTGTGTGTCCCACATCTGCTCTTAAAAAAGCCCCCGAGTGGGGGCACATGGAGTCTATTTCCACCCTTATTTTTTAAAAATAAACTTTATTATCAATAAACAGATACAATAACATATAAATCAATACATTAATAACAGTAATAGTAAGAATACAGCAAGAGATGAATCAACACCTGTAAACAGTATAAATAACACTCTAATAAACCATTGTTATTGTATCTAAGATTGAAGCGTAATCATTTTTGGTAGATAAATATGCTAAGAAGGAAAACCAAGTTGAAGTAAAATTAGAATCAGCAGAGCCTGAAGTTCTAGAAAAGATAGCATCAGAAAGTTTATCCATAAGGCAAAATTTGCATACTTTCTTTATCCAATCAGAGATGGAGAGATGTGTATTAGGTTTCCAAGATCTGGCTATAACAAATCTGGCTGCCGCACACAATAAAGCAGTAAGTTCTTTGTGTAGAGGAAGATTAAGTTGCCAAGCCTCAAGTAGTAATGATTCCAAGTCAAAAGCCATATTGTATGTCGTGATATCAGAAATGTGGTGGATTATTTCTTGCCAAAATGCCTTTATATATTTGTAATCCCACCAACAAATTCGATAGAAGCCTATTTCCCTACAACCTCTCCAGCATAAAGGTGATGGGGATGATTGTATGTGATGCAATTTTTGTGGCATTAGATACCACCTAGTTATGAGTTTAAAGGACTGTGTTCTAATGATAACATGTTTAGATTTAACCAATATCCTCTTTATTTTATTTCTTATTTGGAATAGTGGACTGGAATAGTAGATTATAATGTAATGAAGAGCAGAATGTAATATAATAGAATGTAATATAAACCAAGCTTATTATTCCATGCTGTATGCTAAGTTGCTATATGTATGGACTTCCACTTCAGTATATCTGACAAAGTGTGCATGCACATGAAAGCTTATATCTTATAAGATTTAAAGGTGCCACTGGACTCGAACTTTGTTCTGCATCTTCAGACCAACACGGCTACCCACCGGAATCTATCTTCCAGGTGCAGAGGCAGTCTACCTTGGAAAAGCAGCTGCTGTTGCCTGCTTGAAGGCTTTTCTGGGGGGCATCTTGGCTGGCCCCCTATGCTGGACTACGTGGCTCCTTAGTCTGACCCAGTTAGGGGGCTTCTGATCTCCTCAGTTTTGTGAAGGAGCAAAAGTTCCTAATTCTGTGCCACATGGGAGCGCATTTCTACAACGGCTGGTTTGGAAGGACTCCAAGAAAAATACACACACACACAAAGAAGAGAGCAAAAAAAAAAAAATTATGCTGACAGACATGTCACTGAACCAGAAATACAGTCCTGAATTCTTTAATGTAGGATAGGAGGGGCATTTTTCACATGGTTTAAAATCCAAATCTCGCTTGAGTCAATTTTAACGGAGGCTTGTGCGGTGGTTCCAGTTCAGGGCTGAGGATGCCAGCCTCCAGGCGGGACCTGGAGACCCCCCCCCCGAATTACAGCTCCTCTCCAGACTACAGAGATCAGCTGTCCTGGAGAAAACGGATGCTCCAAAGAGGGGACTCCAGGGCCTTGTACCCCACTGTCCTCCCTGTCCTCCCCAGACTCCATCCCCAAATCTCCAGGAGTTTCTCAGCCTGGATTTGGCAACCCTACCCCTCCATTCCTCACCAGTGGCCAGGGGGGGAACCTGGCAACCCAAGCTGAGGGCCAGCTGGTTAAATGGGGGGGGAATCTCTAAGCATGTACAGAATGTATTGGGCTCTAGCCCACAGAATTGTCGCTGCTTGCTCCGTGCTCCTCTTGCTCGGCGACTCTCTCGACTGATGCTGTGCCGAGCCATGGGTTCAGGGGGCCCCAACGTGGTACCCGTGGATAGCATAGTGCCCGCCAACCCCTTTCCTGGTGCCTCCAAGTGGGTTTTTTTTAGGAAGGAGGAGGGGCCAGCGAGGCTTGAGAGAGCCAGTTTGGTTTAGCCGTTGGGAGTATAGACTCTAATCTGGGAGAACTGGGTTTGATTCCCCACACCTCCACATGCAGCCAGCTGGTGTGACCTTGGGTCAGTCACAAGTTCTCTCAGAGCTGTTCCCTCAAGGGCAGCTCTCTCAGAGCTCTCTCAGCCCCACCTCCCTCACAGGGTGTCTGTTGTGGGGAAGGGAAGGGAAAGAAGATTGTAAGCCACTTTGAGACTCCTTCGGGTAGTGAAGGGTGATTTCCCACTCCTCCACATGCAGCCAGCTGCTGTGACCTTGGGTCAGTCACAAGTTCTCTCAGAGCTGTTCTCTTAAGGGCAGTTTCTGTCAGAGCTCTCTCAGCCCCACCTGCCTCCCAGGGTGTCTGTTGTGGGGAGGGGAAGGGAAAGGAGTTTGTAAGCCGCTCTGAGACTCCTTTGGGTACTGAAGGGCGGGGTATAAATCCAATCTCTTCTCTTCTTCTTCAAGAGCAGTTTCTGTCAAGAGCTCTCTCAGCCCCACCTACCTCACAGAGTGTCTGTTGTGGGGAGGGGAAGGGAAAGGAGTTTGTAAGCCACTTTGAGACTCCTTCGGGTAGTGAAGGGTGATTTCCCACTCCTCCACATGTAGCCAGCTGCTGTGACCTTGGGTCAGTCACAAGTTCTCTCAGAGCTGTTCTCTTAAGGGCAGTTCTCTCAGAGCTTTCTCAGCCCCACCTACCTCACAGGCAGTGTTCCCTCTAAGCTGAGTTAGTGTGAGCTAGCTCACAGTTTTTAGCCCCCGGCTCACACATTTTTGTCTTAGTTCAGGAAGGATGGCTCCAGAGCTGACTAATTTATGCAGTAGCCAAACCGCTCGCTCACAATTTTAATGCCAGTAGCTCACAAAGTAGAATTTTTGCTCACAGGACTCCACAGCTTAGAGGGAACATTGCTCACAGGGTGTCTGCTGTGGGGAGGGGAAGGGAAAGGAGATTGTAAGCCGCTCTGAGAAGAGCGGGGTATACATCCACTCTCTTCTTCTTCTGTAGCCCAGGAGGGCTTTTGACTGACTACTGGAGGTTTGATTGGTTGTGCAGTTTTTTAAACCAAAAAAACATTGCTTTGGCAGCAGCTGCCACCTCAGCACTGTGTGACTTAAGGGAAGCCGTGGCAGCCATTTTGTGTTTAGCTTTGCCTCCTGTGGCAGGCTTCAGAAGGTCAGGTTCCCCTGCATTAGTTCATCCAGCTGAATATCATCTGATCTGAGTAGCAGCGGCTCTCCAGGGGCTCAGAGAGACCAGGATCTTTCCTAACACCTGACAGCTTTTTGATGGGAGGTTGAATTGGGGACTTTGTGACCACCCAAGCACACCTTCTGTTGTCAACCCATGGCTTTCTCTGGGAGCCCTTTCACTGCCATGCTAGATGGTTTTGCTTGTAAGTATTCAGCACAAACCCATTCTGGGTCTGATTCACTGATAGAGTAGGCTTAGCAGTAGAAAAAGAGTTAAGAGTCCAGTAGCACCTTAAAAAGGGAGCTGTGGTGGCTCAAGTGGTTAAGACGCTGAACTGCAGGCTGTCAAAGGTCAGTAGTTCAGCAGTTCGAGACCTGAGTTGCCGCATGACGGAGTGAGCTCCCGTCTCTAGTTCCAGCTCCTGCCAACCTAGCAGTTCGAAAGCAAGAAATTGCAAGTAGATAAATAGGGACCACTTCAGTGGGAAGGTAACAGCGTTCCGTGTGCCTTGGTGTTTAGTCATGCCGGCCACATGACCACGGAAACGTCTTCAGACAGCGCTGGCTCTTCGGCTTTGAAACGGAGATGAGCACCGCAACCCTAGAGTCGGACTTGACTGGTTTTCAAGCAAGGGAACCTTTACCTTTACCTTTAGCACCTTAAAAACTAACAAAATTTGTGGCAGGGTGTGAGCTTTCATGAGTCACTGCTCACTTCAGATGCAGCTAGAATGTGAGTCCATCTGTCCTATATATTGGAAAGTGATTTCAGATGCCGAATGACATTAGCGGGCAAATGACAATAGCGGGTGTGACTGGATTAGGTGTGATATGCAGAGAGGTAGTAGGCATGGAGAAATCAGCATTGGTAATGAGACAGGAAACCTGGGTCTCAATTCAGTCCAGGAGAATGCATTGTCTTGAGCTTCATTATCAGTCGCAATTCAGCAGTCTCTGTTTCTAATCTCCCTTTGAAATTCCTTTGTCAGATAATTGCTACTTTTAGGTCAGCAACTGAATGTCCTGGAAGGTTAAAATGTTCCCCCACTGTTTTTTGAATGTTGTGGTTTCTGATGTCAGACATGCCCATTAATTCTTTGTCAGACAAGCGTTTTCTGAACTTGTGCCTACTGGCACCTCTCCTTTACTTGAGATTAATTGTGGTTGCACATACCTTGCTGAGCCACCTTCCCTTTCCAAACTCCATCCTCCCAAACCTCCAGCAGTTTCCCAAACTGGAATTGGCAACTCCAGGCCCAGCTAAAATAAAAGAGTGTCAGGATCTCCCCCCAGCCTAGCTGCAATTGCAGGGTGAGGAAATGGGGTTTGCAGTTTGGGGGAGAGAAGGAAGCTATGAAAGGGGGGCTCATGGACATAGGCCCATAAAAAAACCTACATTTGAGCCAGCTTATGTGTGTATGTTTTGCAATGCCTCAGACTGAGAGGTGTTTTGAATGTACATTTGAATGAGAAATAAGTAGGTCAAGGGACCTAATCATGAAGGAGGATGCCCATTGCTTCTCTGCAAGAGTCCCTGCTCTGGCATGACGGCTTCCAGCCATCCTCCACTGGGAAGGGGTGTAATTCCTCAATAAAGGTTGAAACTATATTCCCTAAGCAGAGGCAGCAGAATTACTCATGCGAAGAGGCTGCCTGGTGAGACTCTGCATGATTCAGTTGTGCTGGCCTTGCTTGCTTCTCATCAGCAGACGTATTGGGGTGAATTGTGGTTACCCCCAGAATGGTGCTGCATTTGGTGATTCTGA